GACTATTTTTGACTCCTTCTAGCTTAATGGTGTCTTTTCCGTTTCCAAATACCATATTAACTAAAGCCCTCTACACCTGCTGATCATTTTAATAGATAGACCGTCTCTGGGGCTGTTCCTACCTTAATTTGCCGCGGAGTATGCCCAACATTGCGGATATAAGAGTTCTTGTCTGGGGACTTCTTGTAGAAGAAGTACGTTCTTCCTCAAGAATGTAAGTGTTCTTAGATACAGACTGCATCTCGGTTCTGTCAAACGTTAATTCGGCATCCTCGTTCTGCAACGCATCGACGGTCGACTGAAAAGGCGCGCTCACCTCCTCCTGAATTGACTGAGGTTTCCATGGTCTTTGACCATTTTCTCTTATTTTCGCTTTCGAAACATTCCGGGGTCCTCCCTCAGCCATTTTTCAATGAGCATCCAGGGAAGAGAGTATTCCACAGTGTCGGACTCATCTCTTCATCCTCTTCCGTTTCTCTGGCAAACTTTTGTCTCCTCTGAGATGGTTCCACTGCTTTCAATGATGTTACCACGTGGGCTGAATTTACGCAGCTCCTCGGATTCTCGCTGTTATCTTCGCAGTTGCCTCTATGACTCCAGTCTTCGCTGGAAATTACCGCTTGGAACACCGCTTCTTTGAATACCTTTGGTCGTTCTCTGTAATTTGCCATCCGTCAGTGCCTTCCTATCGATCTTCTCCTCAAAGTTAGCTTGAGCGCATCAGGCTCTATTCACTACCGCGTTAAATAATGGCACTACTGCAATGTCCTAGATGACGCGATGTTTGTCGAACTAGAGGAAGTGGACCTTGTTTTCCTTTGCCGTTTTTGGTGAGATCCATGTCAAGCTTCTGCTGGTCTTCTTCACGAACTAACTGATGCCGTTGTGGAACTGGTTCGTATTCACCAGTAGATTTTCTCGCAAATTTCGCTGTCCATTGTCGTGCCTGCCGACAAGGGTACCACCAAACGTTCCTCATGTGACTTTGGAAATGAAGTATTCAAAGATGAGGAGATTCTTTGGCGTTGAGACCAATGCATGTCCCATTTCTTGATGGAATAGTTTCACTTTCTCATCATTAGCTGTAATTGTATGAGTATAAGTGTTGTTGATGTCTAAGATC